GGGATGATTGCAGAGCACACACCGCTCTATTCCACATTTTGTGATTTACTCTTATATTTTGTGATGTGGTGATACACTTTGGTCTATCTTAGTTGTATGACAATGTTTTGGATTACCGTTTTATTAATTTTTAAATGAAATTTTTAGTCATATTTTTGGGACGTTACAGATCGGTTCCTAAGAAAAATAATTACCTGATTATCCAAATTATTTAAATAAGGCTATGACCCATATTTCACTCCAAAATGTGAAAATTTTTGTCGTAATCATACCACGAAGCTATTTAGGTAGGCAATCAATCCCCATTTTCAATATTATGAAACTCCTAGATATGTCGAGATTTATTAATTTATGTCAATAGTATGTTAATTTCTATCATGCTCATCCAACATTCATGACTGGTTTGTCGGTGATCATGAATTTAGATGGTAAACCCACCATGCAATAAACGAATGGTCTTCAGCCTAAGTTTCACTTGATTTATCGCGGATACCATGTCACCTCGAACGTAATCAAACCAACGTGTTGGCTATAGGAACTTCCTCATGCTAGCATATTATAATGAAAAGTCTATTTATTCATGGGTAGCATGTGATTTATATTTTTTATTAAAACGGGTTTTTGTTTTATTTTAGTTAAAAAAAATATTTTTAACTTTTGAAAGCATCAATATTGAATTTAAATACACATTAAAATAGGAAACATGCACCAATTTCAAACTTCATGGAACTTCAAACTCCAAAGTCCTTCACTTGGTCTTCAATCTTCACAACATTACATTTTTTTGTTCTAATTTACAAAAATCTTAACTTCACTTTTACATTTAAAAGAAAAAGAAAGATTACAAATTATAAAATACAGAACTAATGAAGGCCACGAAGACCAAAAAGTACAACTAAAACAAGCAACACATATAAGTTGGGGTGTGGTGTATAATGATCCATACAATTCAAACAAACAATTATTCGAACTTGGATTGTAATTTTTATATTAGAATAATAATCATAAAAATGAAAAAAGAAGACTTACAATTGTTTCAGTGATCTCGCATGCAAGAAATCATTAAAACAATAAAGTCTCAATTATTGATTGTTAATTAATAAATAATAATTAAACGGTTAAAACAATAAATAAATGATATATATCTTTTGTAAACTATCTGATTTGCACAAGTTCACATATCTGAATTATATGTTCAACAAGGTTAAACACAAAACAAAAAATTGGGTACATGGATCGCTGAAGTGTGTCACATCCAGCGCAAGGCATGTCACGTCCATGAAGGCATGCAATGTTCCAGAAAGACACCCTGCACTTCATAGGTAGGGTTTTATAATCAATCAAAAGTGTGTCGCGTGCCAGAAGGATGCATCGTGCCTTATCGAGCATAAAATGATTTCTGCAAATTCTAAACCCTAAATCGTTTTAGTTTTGAAAATGGTTTAAACTTTAAACAATTATAGAGTACTAATTATATGCAAACATAACTACAAGAGATAAAACCCATATGTGCAAAGACATGAACAAAATGGCTCTGATACCACCATTGGGTTATGAGGTTCTTTTTGTCACAAAGACACAAACACAATGGAAGCAATTACAATAAAAAAACAGTAACTCATAAGAAAAGAGTCGGATATCTTGTACAACCAATCAGTGCAACATAATATACAACCAAAGAGATGGAAAAGGAATCATACATTCGTAGTCTTTGAGTTCTTCTTTCTCGACAGTTGAACGGGTGGAATAAAACGCAAAGGAGGATTCCTCTTCTGTGACCACACCCAATAAGAAAATAAGAAACATTGGAAACCACCAACTGAAACCCTAAATAGGGTTTTTGTTCTTGATGTGTGGCGCGTCTATTGAGAACTCGCAGGGTTTTTTGAAGGTCAAAGTGTATCCGAATGTCTGAGGGTTTTTCTCTCTTGAGGTCAACTTCAAACCCAGTTTATGAGCCCTCTATTTATAGGGGGGGGGGGGGGGGGGGATTTAAACCCTAAGGGATAATTACTTGATAACCAAATAATTATCCTTAACTTTGATAATTATCTTACTTTCAAATTCTTCCACTTAGGCCCTTTTAGATCTACAAGTTTCATTTAATTAATTAAAGAGTTAATTAATTAACAAACAAGATCCATATAATTCTTCTGTTAATCAATATTTCTCATATTTGTCCTTGCGTGTAACCCAAAAAGACATTGTCATTAATATTAATATTACCAACTTGTTATGACTGTGAGCACGATCTTCCAACAGATACAAGAAAATTGTAAGCTACAACAATCCTTAAATTGTGGCATACAAAAAGTCAATCTTGACTATATATGTCATCATATTTTATATATATATATATATATATATATATATATATATATATATATATAACTCTAGCCATGAGCAAGTTGAAGAGAATTCTATCAGGCCTTGGAGGACCGAACCCATGTATGTGGCAAAATATGGGGATGACTTGTGGCTAGGGGTTAAAGGAAAATTCATTAAATTACAAAACTGTGTACAATATGTATACTATGTAGACTATGTATGTATGTCATAATAACCGTCTTCTAGTAACTTACTAAACCCTAAGTGTCTTTTCAGTGTATTTATGTCATAATGACCATCTTGTATCTATTTATAAACAATCAATATCATTAGTCATATAACCACATTCAAAGATAAAACCCACTTACAACCCCCCCCCCACACACACACACACACATTCCTACAAAAAGAAGACATTACATGTGCAACTAGTGGCAAATATGACCTCATTAAACTAATAAGGCAGCATATCTTGAAGAACTTTCATATAAGCAAAATGGTTATGAACTTTTGGGAGAAACAATGGCATCATATGAAAATAAGGGAGAAATAGTCGAACAGTTGTGTGGATTGCCTCGTGCACTCAAAAAATGAGAAATATCCAAAGAACTACGTAAATTGCCATAACACTCAAAACTGATTTCACAATTGTATATTGGCAAGAGTAAGGATTAATATGTGGAGAAGCTTAAAGCCTCATTTAATATCATAATCAAGCTTCATCAAAGGACGGTGATGAACACATTGATTGACAACCTCAGGGCTTTGTGAAGGAAGTTAAGTTTATGGTTTGTTTAGTATCTTTTTGGCAAGGACATCGATGTGTTAATATCATAATCAAGCTTCATCAAAGGACGGTGATTTAGGACACATTGATTGACAACCTTAGGGATTTGTGAAGGAAGTTAAGTTTATGGTTTGTTTAGTATCTTTTTGCCAAGGACACCAATGTGTTAAGCTTGTAAGTTATGTTGCTTTGGATCTTTTTTGGAAAGTGAACGTGATAAGGATGTGTAGTATTTTCTTCTGAATCGTATTTAATGTAATTGGTACTCTTTCATTCTTGTTTTGCTTCAACTATCAATTGACTAAATCAACTTGACAAGAACAAAATTGACATGAAAGATACCTAGAAATTGGTTCTTGAAACTTGTTTCCTTTTGATTTCTAATGCGTAGAAGAAAAAATCAAAATATAGTGGGGCTCGTTGTCTTACCTTTGCTTAGAAGAGGATGCCATGTGAAGCCTTGTTCAATGAGAAGAGAGGAGACGATGAAGCATTCTTGAAGGAAAGGATATGAGACGAGAGAAAGAGAGACAAAAAAAAAAAAAGACATCATGAGAAAAAAAATAGAGTGTTCAATCTTGCTTCTAAATGTCACATTAGTGCCAAGTTCACCCATGTGGGAAGTGACAACCGGTTGAAACTTGCTCAAGTGGCTAAATAATGATAAAATTGGAAGTTGAAGGACTTAATTAGCACGATTAGAACTTTAGTAACTAAAAAGTGTCAATTTTAAGACTTTCATAGTCACAAATGTCAAGTCTTATATGAAGACCGCATCAAATTCTAATAAATACATTATGTCTCTCCTTTAATGACAAACAATTAGGGACTTTCTTTTTTATTTAGTGGACTTAATGAGTTAAACATTTAATCTGGACAGTTATGTATAGGGATGAGCAAAACCAAACCTAGAAACCAAAAAAAGCGACAAAAACCGATAAAACCAAAATCGAAACTAAAATAGAAATCGATGGTTTGGGTTTGGTTTCAGTTTTACAAAATGCAAAAACCGAATCGAACCGAATTTATAAAAATATATTTTTTCTATACATATTTCGTAAAACTATATCAGAAACTTCTTCTAGCTTGATTGGTTCAATGTGTTGCTTATAGACCTTGTGGTCTCGTGAGTCTTCTCGTCGATGTATTTTGTTCAAGCCTTTGAATTTTATTATGTTATACAATGTATCTCACATCAGTGGTGGGATGAAACTCTCTCCTATCTCAACCCTTATATTATACACCACCTTCCTCCTCCTTCTACATAAAACATATGTCTTCCTCATCCCTCTACATAAGATTTATCATACTCTTGAGAAAGTTAGCTTAGTCCAAACCTAAAATTTTGTTAAATGACGACTTAGTTGCTAAGTTTAAGATTTCTGGGTTTAAAATCAATGAACCCGAAACTGAATCGGGGACAAAACTGAGAAACCGAAACAATTGGTTTTGGGTTCTAGTTTTCTAAAAAGCGATAAATCGGTTTGTCGGTTCGGTTTTAGATCAAAACGAGTCATACTCACCCTTAGTTTATATATGATGATTGTACTTTTTTTTACTTAATCTATACCGAATGACTTATTGGGTTAAACCAAAAACACACGACTTACAATATGAAGACATCAAGTCTTTCCCTACTTGTTCTGCTCTATTTTTCTCATCTACTTTCACATTAAAATCGATGAAAAGTGTTAAACTTAGTTTCTGGATTGTTACGGTAAAATCAACATTTATCTTTGTTCATATTGTTTAAGAAAGAAACATGTCTTATCTGTTTTTAACATAATCTAAAGAAAATGAGTATACGGTATGTTTAATATATTACAACACTAGTTGTTTCATACATGATTATTGATTCAGCCAAAAAATAACACAACACAATATCAGTTTTACTCAAACACCCACCATAAGTTGCAAATTTAACAATTCATGTTTTTCCATTTCACCAACAGACATCATAACTAAACACCAAATAGAAAAAGAATATCAAAACCTGATTGACCATATCTTGTCAAAGTCAAACCACAATAACAAACACAAACACAAACACCCCATCACAATCACAATCACGATCACATGATTGTATATATGTATATACTTATCAAAAACAAACTCCATCATCATCATCATCGTCATCTTGAAGGCCATACTTGCTAAAATGTTTAACCCTAAACTTCCACTCCCCTTTAACCGGATCATACTCCACAAACTCCGCCCCTTGATCCTCTGCTTTCTTCTTCAACATCTCCTTATACTTCTCAATCCTCGGGCCTTCAGTAAAATGTTTCCCCGTTTTCTTATCGAAACATTTTATATTCAAAAGTGTGACTTCAGCCGGCTTATTCAGCCCTTGTCCGATCGGAGGCTTTTTCGTTTCGTCCATGTAGACAATCACTTCGCGATGATTGAATTGAATTAGTGATTCCAATTCCAGCCTTCGAACGTCGGTTTCCCCGAGGAATTTAATGGAGCCGTAGTTGTGGCGGCCGACTGTGAAGTTGTGGACGCGGCGGCAGAAGCCAGGTTCGGCGCGTTCTTTGGCGGCGAGTTCTTGGATTCGCGGTTCGGTGTAGTAATCGGAGTGGCGGAGTTTCGGCATCAGAGCTTCGATGTCGGCGCCGTGTTCGTATACGATTGCGGCTTCACCCGCTCGGTGGCCGGTGAGGGAGATGTAGGAGTCGGATTTTGGCGGGGAGTGGTCGTCGTGGTGGTGGTGGATTCCATTTGTTTTTTGGGGGGTTTTGATTGGTGTTTGTTCCTTTAGGGTTCCGTTTTCGGAATGGTTTCCTGTAATCAAAGATTTTGATATTAGTATGGGATTCATGAACTAGATAAAATTGCAGTAAAAGAAATGATCTTACTGTTCCCGTTATCCGCATTTAAAGGAGGGGAAGAAGCAAACCCGGTGTATTCACCTGAATTCAAATAACAAAAAATGAGATAAAAATGATTTTTTTTTTAAGATAGCATCAGAGAATTAGTTTACCGTTTGTTTGTGCTGGAGAAGATGCATTTTTTAATTTTTCATCAGATGATTTGCCAGGCCATTGTTCAAGAGGGCGAATAACCAAAGCTCTTGGATTCTCCCTTGGAATAAAAAGAGCATCTGCTTTTGGTGTGCTGGTAGTCTCTTCATCATCACTAAAAAACGAAACCTGTAATTGTAAAAAAAATCAATCAGATCAGTAAAAAAATAATAAGGGCAAAATAGTCAATAGTTGATATAACAACATATATTACCTTTGGTCCGTCGTTTTTCGGGTGATACTTTCTAGCAGGCAACCTAACTCGCCTTTGAGAAAGATGGCGGGAAGTCAACACGGATGAAATCCTAATGGGAGCAGGTTTATCAACAACCTATATAGAAAGAAACAAACAAAAACAACTTTTAAGTTAATTATTTAAATAAATAAAAACACGATGTAAATTGTAACTAATTGTTTTATATACTTACTGGCAAGCTGGAAATTCCATATTGAATTGAAGGTGCATTTCCCACACGCCCAATTGACATTTGAGGCATTGCTGGTAGAGTTCCAAATGGATTTGTAATAGACTGTGGTTGTGCAACTGCAGGAGTTTGAGTTGCTGACCTGTCATCTCAAACATATTATATTTTGGAAATGTATATATTTTAAATTAAATATATACAATGCGGGGGAAACATACATTTGTCCAAAATTATTCTGACCAAAAATGCTTGATGTCCCACCAATGCCACCTGTCAAGAAGAAAAAACACATAAGAAGAAAATTAAAGGAAGTGTACATTACAGAAATGGTCCTTGAGGTACAATGGAAATTACAGGTTCAGTCCAAGTTCCAATTTATTGTAACAAAACTGAAACTGGTACTGAACCTGCATATTCACAATATCACAGGGACCATTTTTGTAATTTACGCATAATCTCAAAAAGTTTTCCATTGAATCACAATCACCTGCTGGCGCCCCGAAGCCAAAACCACCTGTATTCTGAGTTGGTTGAGCCGATTGAAATGGCATTGAAAGGGAAGGCTACATTGATATAAGAAACAAAAGTAAGATAGTGACTAGATACAGAATCGTTAAATTTTAAATAATAATTACATTCATTAATGATAATTAGAATAATTAACAAAAGGAACTCACAGTTGTCTGATTAAACCCCATGCTGCTAGATGCCGGGGTGCTTGAGAACAAGTTCCCACCAAATGCATTTGTCTGACCGAAAGCCGGAGCACTCTGCCCGAACGACGGGGCAGACTGCCCGAAAGCCGAGGTGGTCTGCCCGAATGGAGAGCTTGTTTGTCCAAGAGAAGGTGTGGTTGACTGGAACAAGGGGGAGGATTGTGTGTTGCCAAAGTTTAATCCACCGCCAAATGACGGAGTTGCCCCTTGTGCTTGAGTTGCACCAAAAATAGAAGTTGATGTGCCAAAAGTTGATGTACTTGGAGCACCGAAAGGGGAAGCGGAAGTAGTGGATCCAAACCCGGGAGTTGACCCGAATACTGATGGAGTTGGTGATGGTGTTGACCCGAATGGGTTTGATGATGTGGCACCGAAGGGTGAAGAGCCGAGTGTAGGAGTGGAATTACCGAATCCGGGGGTTGAGAAAGTTGAAGTTTTTGGGGCGAATGGGTTTGAAGGTGTAGTGGAAGAAAATGGATTCGTGTTTAATTGGGTAAATGCTGGAGAAGAAGAAAAAGGGTTTGATTGTGTGGTGTTGTTTGTGGTGTTGAATCCCATTCCACTAGAGGTTTGACCTGCAGGATTTGGACCCCCTGAAATAAAATAAATATAAATTAATAAGAGAAGATGCTAAGGATATGTTTGATACAATGGAATGGAATGGAATGAATCTTTATTAATTACCTTTATCTCCTTGTTGGTAATCTTCCCATCTAAGTTCTTCATGACTTTTGTCTTTGTATGCAGGCATTGCTGATATGGACTCAAGCTTCCCAGCAGGCTGGGTCCCACTACCACTGTCTGCTTCAGGTGTCTGAGCATAAGGAGTTACTCTACTTCCACCGCGTTGACCACCAAATGATGTTTGACCAAAACCCGGACTCCCAAATGCTGGTGTTGTTGTCTGACCACCTGCATTTTCGTGTTTTTTCCATGTTGATTAAATTTCAACAAAAAAAAAAAGTAATAGAAGAAATGAAAGTATAATGTTGTAATTGGAACGGTTTTTGAAATACAATGTCGGAATCAAACAGAAGAAAAGGTACCAAAGGGAGAACTCTGAGCCCCAAAAGCTGACGTGGCAGTGCCAAACGGGCTGCTGCCAAATGCTGACGTGGACTGACCAAATGCGGGACTTGACCCGAAACTAAAAGGGGAGCTAGTGGCACCAAAAGTGGGTGTACTCGATTGACCAAAAGCCGGGGTACTTGATTGACCAAAAGCTGGTGTGCTAGATTGACCAAAAGCCGGGGTGCTGGATTGACCAAAAGCCGGGGTGCTGGATTGACCAAAAGTGGGTGTACTAGATGCACCAAAAGGGGAGCTACCAAATGCAGACCCTGTGGACCCGAATGCAGGGGTAGATGTGGACCCGAAGGCGGGTGCTGATGTGGCACCGAACGCGGGGGTAGATGTGGCACCAAATGCAGGGGTGGTTGAGGTCCCGAATGTCGGGGTGCTTGGAGTGCCAAAAGCAGGTTGACTTGGAGCTCCGAATGCTGTTGACCCGAATAGATTGGTTCCAAATGCGGGTTGACTTGGAGCTCCAAATGAGCTTCCGAATGCGGGTTGTGTTGGTGTTGTGGATCCAAAGCCACCAAATGCGGGTTTTTGTCCGAATACGGAAGAACCTGTAATTTGAATTAGAAAAAAGAAATAAATAACTCAGATAAAAGTTACAGATGTGCATTATCTTTCAGCAATACTTTTCCAAATTAACCAGTTATATCCCGTCAAAATGGTTACTCTACAGAAACTGTTGAAAACTTCCATGGTTTGATTGGGAGATATCAAAGTAGAAGTGCTTAAACTGCTCAAAATATAATGGTTTTTCTGGAAGTTTCTAAAAAGAAAACAAAAATAATATTATAGAAACTAAAAATCGAACTACTTCAGTAAATGTACTTACCACCAAAAGCTGAAGATGAAGCACCAAATGCTGGGGTTGAAGAAGCTCCAAAAGAAGGCATTGAACTACCAAAAGCAGGTGAAGAAGAAGCACCAAAAACTGGTGAAGAAGCTTGGGTACCAAAGACACCAGTAGAAGTGCCACCAAAAATAGAACCACCTGTTTGTGCACCAAAAGGAGATGTGCTACCAAATGGTTTTGGAGCAAATGGGTTGTTATTTGCATTATTGGTCTGCCCAAAAACTGATGGGGACCCAAAGGGACTATTGGATGACTGCCCGAATGCTGTTTAAAGAAAACAGAAGCAATTAGAATCATGATGTTGTTGCATATTGCATGATATTCACTTCAAACAATATGAAGTAGCTTGACAAAAAGAAAGAGTGTAACATATGTAAAACTCTTCTGCTAACTTTTTCCAATAATCAACAAGAATTAAAGCCAGCCATAAGTTATTCCATTATAATATATGAAATCTACACACAAAACCAGCCATTGAAAGGAGAAGTACATATATATGAAAAACTGGCGAATGGCACTTGCCAGAATCCCATCAAAAAAAATTTAAAGAAAAAGCTAAAAGACAGATGCATTAAAGGGGAAACAAAAGGAATATGCATATCAACATCAAGTGGAATAGGTTCAAAAAGGTAAAGAAACGAAACTTACGGTTGCTAGCACCAAACATCGTTCTTTCCTATAAGTTCACAGTACACGTCCCGATCCAAATTCTGTAAAAATTCCAAAACATCTTAAATAAATGAAACAAATAACTTCATACATATGAAACAAATCGATCCATAACCAAAAACATTCAAAATACGCTCTAAACATAAACAGATACACACCTTCAAATTCGTATCCACTATGCAGTTATCGAAACGAGTGCACCGGAGCCCAAACTTCTGCAATTGTAATCAACTATCCGCGCTTGTTCAAATTAAAACTAGCAATCCATTCCACAAATAAAACGATAAAACTGTCAACAGATTGATACAAAACCATTAATGCTAGGGTTAATTGAAAGCGAACTTAATATGAAATTGACCAGATGAAAATAACATGTCGATAGCTAATAATCGAAATACATAACCGATGAAATCATGTGTAGATGTAAGCTAGGGTTACGATCATACCTAGAGAGAGAGGGATGGACGATGAGGATCGTGGATCTATAAGCAAATAGGGAATTGCGTCGCCTTCGACTCGCAAGAGAGGGATAGAAAGAGAGACGATAGGTCACACTGGGAAGGGTAAACAAGACCAAACACCCAATATACTGGTAATTATTATTTGTTAACCGTATACATGGGTTAACTTCGTATATTGAGTCCGACTACATTTAAAATATGCTTACATCACACGCTATTTTTATTACGAAATATCACGTATATAATATAATGTTAACAACTACTATTTTGTCCGGATAACGACGGTAATGTATTTTTTGATTTGTACACATTTAGTCACTGACTTTTTTTTTCGTTTATATTTACCCCTTCAACTTATTAAACTGTACACATTTAGTCCTTATGACCGACAGGGGCGGCTTAACCAATTTGGGGGCTCTAAGCAAACAAAAAAATTGGAGCACTTCAAGTAAGCAAACAGTTTTGGGCTAACTAATAAAAGGCCCAGAGCTGGAAGTGATTTTAGAAACCAATCGCGTTCCGGGAAAAAATCTCAATATTGAATTCGCCTAGAAGAAAAACAAAAATTGTGTTTTCATTAAGTTCTGTATACAGAACGACAATTACTTAAATACATTCGTATTGCCGGAAAGGCAAAAGGGTCAACACCTTTAGTTTTATAACCCAAAACTTTTACCATTAGGCCAATCTTCAACTTGTCTTTGTAACCCAAAAAATACGTATATGTACATATATAACATAATAAGCTTTAAAATTGAGGCCCTTTAGACTTGGGGACCGTAAGCCCTTGCTTGGTTTTGCAAAGGGTAGAGTCGGCTCTGTTGACCGGCTACTCCAGGTTAGCCAGTAAAAATGACTTAATACGATAATATATTTCTCACTTTGTACACATTTAGTCCTTAATATTTTTATACACATTTAGTCCTTATTTTTTTTTTTTTTTGTTGCAAAATAAGTCATTTTTGTTTTTGTACTCATTTAGTCTTATGAATGATTTCTTTAGGTTTTTCTCACGACATCTTACGTGGGATAGCTATATGGTGGTGGGATAGGTTGAGGTGGTCCTATTATATGTTGTAGGCCAAGATACCTGGTGCGGGCCGATTGTAAGCAGTAGCCACGGAGGCTCGAGAAGAGCGGTTGGGTTAAGGCGACATACCGACAAACCATGAGTATTTCAGTCTGATGACTGATTGAACCTGTTGCATGTTGGCATTCTAGTCTGATGACTGATTGAGCCAAGGTATTCCAATCTGATGAGTGTGGGCTCATTATGCATGATAATACGTTTGTTGTATCGAGTATTTTGGGGGAAACTCATTAAATTATGTGTTTACCCAGTTGTTTATGTTTTCAGGTTATATCGTTGATCGTGGAAAGACGAAGACATGACTGTACACACCTATCAACAATATTGAGGATTCTGCGTTTCTTATATTACTCTGATTTTCAATAAATGTATTTTGGAATAAACATTTTTTCTTAATAATGGATTTATAATTAGGGACTTTTGCCTTATTTAAAAATGAAAATTTTTAGTTGTGAAAATGAGACGTTACACATAAACATCAACAGTCCCACACACTTCATCAATGATTGTCCCACGTAAGATGTCGTGAGAAAAACCTAAAGAAATCATTCATAAGTATTGAATGAGTACAAAAACAAAAATGACTTATTTTGAAACAAAAAAAATATTAAGGACTAAATGTGTACAAAAATATTAAGGACTAAATGTGTACAAAAGGAGAAATATATTACCCTATAAGTCATTTTTCTCGGCTAACCTGGAGTAACCAGTCATAAGGACGGAATGTGTACAGTTTAACAAATTGAAGGGGTAAATATGGACGAAAAAAAACTCAATGATCAAATGTGTACAAATCGAAAAATATATTACCCTTTTTAAGTCATTATCCCTATTTTGTCTCTTGGTCATGCGTTTTGTAAATTAAATTTTGATGATTTTCTTGGTAAAAGTTAAGTACCGTTGTATTTATTGGTAGATATAAATACAAGGTCGATACCACTATCGGTGGATGAGGTTAACACAAAAGTTTAGAAAGTCGATGAGATTAAAATGACATTTTACAAAGTTCAAAGTTAAGTGGGTCAAAATGACATTTAACAAAGTTTAAGGGTGGTAATTGTAGGAAAATCATATTATATATGGACTCGTACATAAAAATAAATAAGTAAGATTGTTTTTTAAGCTAATGAACGGAAGTTCAAATAATAATAAAAATATATTATATGTGATCTGACTTATACGTAGGAATCGACGAAGTGTAAATAAAAATAAGCACGAAAAGATATAATAAAAAAAAAGTCGAAACGTAGATAAACTTGAATTTATACCGATACATACATAAAAAAACAAGCAACGATGAAACGTCCCAAAAATACTAATAAAAATTTTCACTTTCAAACCATTAAAATCATACAATCATTTGTTCAAAACCAAACATAGTAAAATGTATCTCTTAAGCATCAAAGTAAAATGATAATAATCAATGCGGAAAAAAACAGCAGGGGGTGTTGTGCAGTCAAGTCGGACTCTTCCCTTTGAAACTGAAAGTACCTGGAAATATTTAACCACAAATTCGTAAGCACAAAGTTTAATGAGTTCCCAAAAATATCACATACCATACATAACATCAGGCCTCGCCTAGCACACAAACGGACTCCGCCCAACATACAAACGGACCCCGTCCTGCACACAAACGGGCCCCTCCCATCACACAATGTAAGAGTCACAAAGATAGCTAGCATCCTACACAGTATAGTGAGAGTGCTCACCTTTCTCACGAAGTCAGACAAATCACATCTCAATGCTACGAAACAGGTGCTACAACTCACTTATCGGATCAAACAAGGTCCCACCTTAGGGGTCGTTTGATAGTGGCTAACTGGGTTAGAGTTGACTGTTGGGTTATCAGCAAAACATCAATCCTATGGTGTTCATGCAAACCCTAATGCTTGGATCTAGTTTTTCTATCTGTACATGCAACAATTGTCCAAGACTTGCAAACTCTAATCTAACATACTATAAAAAAAACGAAATTAACATCTAATAAACAAGTTAGAAAGTTACCTTTGATTGTAGCTAGAAGATCTTGAGCTTTTGAGAAACCAAGCACCTCAAATGCGATGCCTCTAATGAATCACAAACACCAAAAGCAATTGGATGATCTTGGAGAGAGAGGGGAACGCTAAAATCGGCTCTTGAACTTTTAAGGTTCAAGTGGTAGCCGAATTAGGGAGCCAGGGGGTTCCCTATATAGCTGAGGTGTAACACCTCGTTTATTTAATAAATAAATTAATTAATTAATGAATGTATAGTAGCCCTAAAATCAATAATTATATCGCAGGGTGTTGGTCTCGATGAGCTAATTGTCATAATTCTAGAAGTTGGGGGTTAAAAGTGTAAGTTTCGGATTAATTTTGTAAATAATTGTGAAGGCAGGGACTACTTGGTAAATTATTGGGACTTACTTTGAAAAGATTTTGGGAGGCTAGGGGCCGAATGTTAACTTATGGATTCCATTGGAGAACAATTTGTAGAGGAGGGGCTGTTTGGTAATTGTTGGACCTAATATGTGAGGAATTATAGAAGTCGGGGTTTAAAGGATAAATATGGGAGGGAATTCGAAATTGTTTCTGGAGGGAGGGACCATTTATGCCATTATGGAATAAAGTTTATAAGGGTGACGGGTATAAGAACGTCCCATAACCCTAACCCTAGAAGTTGGATACAGCCGCCACCTTCCCTCTTTCTTCACTTCCGGTAGCCGCCGCTCTCACCCCTTCAATCTCCGGCGCCACACCACCACCTCCGTTGAGGTCGCCAACCGTCGGATGCCGCCACAGCGATGTTGTCGGAAGTATTGAGCCGCCGATATCGAACCTCCAAACCGTGATCGGAGTCCGCTTGCACTGCTCCTCCATCTCGCCATTGTCGGTGTCGAGTCCGACCCCCACTCCGCCACTTGCATCCTCCGACCGACGATGTTTAGCGCTGCAGAGGAAGCCTCCAAGGCTTGGAACGACGACGATCGATCGTTGCTCTCTTTTTCGCCGCCCTATCTTCTTCTACTCCCAACTCTTGACGCCGGCGTCGCTTGGAGCCGGCAAACCACCGAAGCCGCCACCGTGAGTCTCCGCTGCCAGCGTGGGGGAATCACCATCCACCGACGACATGTTAAGCGGGGCTGCTGGGAGGCACCGTCAAGATCAAGGAGAGGCGCTGCTAAACCCTAGTCGCCGCCATATCTCCCGACTGTCGTGCACAATGATCGTCGTCATGTTACTGTTGCTGCCGAACCTTCGTCTGCCACCGTGAGGTGGGTGGTCTTATGAATTCCCGAGCAAGAGTGTGTTATGTGTGTTTTGATGGCCGGAAAATGGAGAAGAAAACCACCATGGCCACCAGCCATGGTGGCTGCCACCACGTACCACCGCCGGCCACCACTAGGGTGGCTGTGTGTTTGTGATTTATCTTAGAGGGTGTGTGTGTTATTGGTATTTTGCTTTGTATGATGTAATCTATAACGGAATAATCAAGGAATACTAAAAACCACCATCGTGAGGTGGTGGCTGCCGCCTCCTGCTGCCACCGGCCGCCGTGTCAAGTGGTGGTGTGCCTCATTTGTATTGTGACTCGTTTAGGATGTTTGGACAAGGGACTAAAACCCTAATGGGCCTAATAAACCCTAATGGGCCCAATGAAGCCCTAATTGACCTAAAAGCCTAAACATGTGACTAATGGGCGTAATGAACCCTAATTGATCAAAAGACCTAGCCATTGGGCCTATTGGGCTAAGATGGGTTTGGAAACCCTAATTAGGGTTTAGAAAACCCTATATATTGGATTTATGGGCCTTGGACTTATTGGGACCCACTTTTGGGCCATTGGAATTGGATTATGTATTAAGCCCGACTTCACTATATGATTTACCTAGTAGAGTAATGGACTTAATGGATTAAGTCCTTAATGGGTTAAGTGAGAAACACTTAACCCTAATTGTCATTTTATGTGAAACCCTAATTTCACTTGGGCTTTGTGTTGGGCCTTTTATTAGGCTTTGGTGAGTGGGCTAGTAATGGGCCATACAAGAACAATCAAATGGACTAGAATATTTATATGGGCTTTAGGGTAAGGCCCATATGAAGGTTTGGGCCCAAGCAGAGCCGAGGATCGGTGGGATGCCGTAGCTTTAAGAGATAAGGGCTGAGACAATCGGAAAGGCTTTTTTTTAGGAAGGAGGCCCCCTCCCTCCTATGTTGTAAAAGGGAAGTGCAGATCTTTCTGCAACACTCTTCCGGCTTGATTACCCCCTAAGAGGAGGATATAGAAGCAGATTTAGTTGCAGGTAGGAGTGAGTCTACCCTGCAAAGCGGCTTCTCGCTTATCCCCATTTGGGAATGAGGAGATCCGACGTCAAGTGCAGGAATTGCTGTCGAAGGGGCGGGAGAGTCTCAGTCTGTGTTCAACGCCTGCTTGACTAGCTCAAAAGGAGGCAGCTTGGAAAATTGGGCCATAAATGGGCCATAGTTTGGGCCTTAATGATTATATGATATTGGGCCATTAGAATGTCAAATGTTGGACCGGAATAAATGGTTGGGCCTTAGGGTAAGACCTTTTAAAGGTTGGGCCCAGTTTGGAAAATTGGGCCATATGTTGGGCCTTGAGCCATAGTTGGACTTTTGGGCCTCTGGTTTGGGTCTTGGGCTTGAATCAAGCCAAGATGGGGTAATGTAGCATGTTACTCCAAGAACTTATGGTTATGTGTTGGGACCCAATTATTAATTGGGTGATGTTTTGATATTGACAGTTCGGGAATCTGTCATCCAGCAGCTGGGATTGTGTCTACGGGACTTCAACAGTGTGAGGTGAGTTACCTTCTAGTAGTGGTGGGTCTACGGCCACAATGCCGGCCCAGTAGTAGGAGTTGTATGTTAGATGATTGTCTTTGTGATAATTATCTAGGTTTGCTACTAGCTGATGTGTTTTATGTGTTAGCCTGATATGATGTTATGTGATAGTAGCAGTAGGGGGAAATGTCCCCGTACTACGGTCGTTAGGACCGAAGGGTAGGTCGGGCACCCAGATATGCCTGACAGTGGGGTAGGTTGAGCACCCCGGTATGCTCAGTAGGGTAGGTCGGGCACCCATATATACCTGACAGGGTAGGCCGGGCACCCAGATATGCCCGACATTATGTGATTGGTATGGTATGTGGTATGATGGGGGAACTCACTAAGCTTCGTGCTTACGGTTTTCAGTTTTGGTTTCAGGTAACTCGTTCTTCAAAGGAAAGGAGTCGGCTTGATCGCAGCGCATCACACTATGATTTCCGCACATGAGATCTTTGAGATTACACTCTGATATGGCTTTATGATAATATGTTTTGATTATTGACACTTTGGTTTTGACATGAGATATTAATATGAATGTTTTTATACTGTTGGTTTTATATAATAACTTAATTACACTCAAAATCCAATTAGCAATTGTAGCTCTCAAAAGCTGTTGTCGAACTCTGACACGTCCTATAGATAAGGGATTGTATAGTCCTCCGTTCTCAAGATATCATGTGGACAATCACATGGAACATAGTCATACTTATTGTCCAGCAGTTTGTTTCTCGATCTCTGATTTGTCTGACATAGAACTTAACTGAACACATCAATCTAGTCCTGACCGGGCCCGACACATAAGTCAGAACAAAATCATCGAGGGGCCCAGATATCGCTTTTAACCTCGTAGGATAAAAGGAACAGATAAACTTCGACTTATATGCTTGTACTATTTACTGATCAAATCGTACACAACAATGCGTCTTATAACATCAAGTTACTGATGCGTTTACGCATTATCAATGCACAACCGACTCGTAAACAACAACTCATATATCTAGGTTTAAAGACTTATATGATATTATCATCTCACAATCACTCGTGATAAATTCCATGAAGTGATTCATGTGAGTGCGGGTTTAATCCAATACTCAAATCATATTTCACAAGCACTCATGAACGTTGCAGCAAACATTTGCTATGTCTAAATGCTTAGACAATCTACAAGCCAATTCATGACAGTCTTCTTTCATACTTACTTCCAACGTATGATCGACTGCGTATAGTTTAAATAATCTTATTATTTAGGAAGTCAAAACATGCAAAGTGTAACAATAGTAAATAATTAACGTAAGACAGTAACATTAGTTATAAATAAAACACCTTTATTTAATCATTAAATGTTAATTACAATTTATCTATTACAAGTTTCTAAGGCTATCTAATTATTGAAACTAATATCGTCCTTCAGCCGAATGCTCCTAGCGTGCTGCAAGTGCTTAACCCTACTCAGTCCCTTCGTAAGGGGATCTGCTGGGTTATCCTATGATAATACCCTCTTTACTACGAGGAGTCCCTCTTCTACCCGATGTCTAAAATGATATTTCCTGTCGATATGCATGGATCTGCCATGATCCCTCGGTTCCTTGGTCAAGGCAACCGCACCTTCGTTATCGCAGAAAATCTCCATAAGCTCCTTTATGGCAGGTACAACTCCAAGGTCTCCGATGAAGTTCTTAAGTCATATTGCCTCCTTCGATGCTTCGCTCGCTGCTATGTACTCTGATTCGCACGTTGAATCAGCTACATTCTCCTGCTTGGAACTTTTCCATGTCACTGCTCCTCCATTTAAGGTAAAGGCCCAGCTCGACTGCGATCGGAATTTATCCCGGTCAGTCTGAAAACTAGCGTCACTATACCCTCGCACTCTCAAGTCATCACTCCCACCAAGGATAAGAAACCAGTCCTTAGTCCTCCGCAGGTACTTAATAATGTTCTTTACTGCGTTCTAATGTTCTCTACTAGGATTCCCTTGATATGTGCTGACCATGCTCAAAGCGAAGGCCACATCAAGACGAGTAAAAGTCATAGCATACATGATCGAACCAACTGCGGAAGCATATGGTATATGACTCATTTCTGCTATTTCAGCCTCTGTACTCTGACTCTGAGTCTTACTCAGTTTGGCATTGCCTTGGATAGGTAAGTCACCTTTCTTGGAGTTCTTCATACTGAAACGCTTCAACACCTTGTCCAAGTATGTACTTTGACCAGGTCCTATTAGTCTTTTACTTCTGTCTCTCAATATCCTTATCCCCAAGATATAGGCAGCTTCTCCGAGATCCTTCATAGTGAAACACTTCCGAAGCCATGACTTAACCTCCTGCAGGGTTGGGATGTCATTACCTATGAGTAGTATGTCATCTACATACAATACCAGAAAGCTCACTATACTCCCACTAGCTTTGACATATACACATGACTCATCCTCGCTTCTCGAAAATCCAAACTCTTTGACTTTTTCATCAAAACAAAGATTCCAGCTGCGAGATGCTTGTTTCAATCCATAAATGGATTTCTCAAGCTTACACACTCTATTAGGGTACTTTGCATTGACAAAACCCTCTGGCTAACTCATGTAAACATCTTCAGCCAACTTTCCATTAAGGAAAGCGGTTTTGACATTCATTCGCCATATTTCATAATCATGAAATGCAACTATGGCCACCATAACTCTTATAGATTTAATCTTCGCTACTGGTGAGAAGGTCTCATCATAGTCAACTCCCAGAGTTTGAGTAAAGCCCTTCTGTAACGCCAGTCGAATTTTGGTCAAAAATAAATTGATCAATAATCGTAATTGGGATGAACCAAACGGTAGAGTTTGTAACAAGGTTTCCAAAAATATAAAGAACATTGAAATCCGACTTATAACGAAGAAATTATGACCAATCGAAAATCCGTGACAAAACCAGCAAAACACTGTTCAGTGTAAAAAGTGAATTTTCGATAAAAGGCTTTTTAGCCTTAACAATCTAAATGAAAGTTGTAGAATATGTTAAACCGAGAACGTTCATAAAAAAGAACGTCAAAATCTGACTTCGTATGAGGAAGTTATAAGTTTTCTAAGTTTCGG